AAATAGCTCGTCTGTCTTAATTGAAAAGGTTTCAGAAAATTTGAACTTAGAAAAAAAAATTATCTGAAAGGACTTAGAAAAAAAAATTATCTGAAAGGACTTAAAAAAAAAAAATTATTCGAAAGAATTATAATCAGAAAATTTGGACTTGGAAAAAAAAAATTATTTGAGAGAATTATTTAATTAATCGATGAAATGAAATGATATTAATCGAATCAAAATTGTTTATACGACTTAATAAAACTTGTGAAACCTTTACAATTAATCGAGACAGAAACAAATTTAGTTGACTTGAATAATATACAAATTATTAGAAAAAGCCATAAAAGAAATTCAATAAAACTTGTAAAATAAAATAATGAAAAATATTCGAAAACTTGAACATTAAAAACTTCAAAACTGTTTAAAGCTGATTGTTATCCTTTAGAAATCGAGTTAAATAATTTTTACAACTTGAATCGAATAATAAACTTGTTAACAAAATAATATTTTGTCTAATCATTCAAGTCAACTCTTTGAAACTTTGATTGCAAGTCTTGATCAAAATTGTTTTTAGCAACAAAAGAATAAAAAAATATTATTTAGCTATGCAGCGATATAATTGAATAAATTTAGAATAAAACTACAGTTAAAAGTTTTAAAAGCTGCATTTGATTAACAATTTGGTAAGTCGTATTAAATATTTGAAATAATTTGATCAAAACCAACAATCGTGTTATCCAATAAATAAAAATGTACATGCAATCAATATCGCTACAGGGAAAACACATGATTCTTGATAATTTAAAAAATTGTTTCCAAAGAATAATGAACAAGAGGTGTCACAAAAAAAGAGATTTTTGTAACAAAGTAAATTTGTAATTTGTAATAAAATACCATCAATTTAGGAGTTACCTAAGGAAGGATGCTAAGACCTATTCAACAAATAAGTAATCGATGCTTACAAAAAGCTGTATTGGTTAACTAATAATTTGGTAACTAAAATTTAATATATAAGAATTTTGAATTCTACACAAAATCAGCTCATAGTGTTGTTATAGAACAAAAGAATTTCTGGTGGAATATTATTATGGAATTGTAATAATATAAATTACTTTCAATGTCTTTGATACATACGAGAAGTACAAACTTTTATCTTTTATATTGATTTAAAACATTCATAAAATTTTAATTCATAAGTAAAATAAAAAAACTGAATCAACATGTTTTCCCCATAACAAATTAAATATGAACATAGTCTTTTACACATATGTCTGCCAAATTAATTTAAAATCTTTTATTAGCATAATAGGTGTAGTTGAATAAACAAAAGATAAATTGTATTTTATACATTAGAAATTAATAAAGTATATCTCATTAAAGAAAATTATATTAACTCAAATATTATAGAATAAACAATATTTTCAGCAGATATATGTATACAACTATATTAATAATGCACGAGCCAGAATATATTTTACTAAAATATATACAGACTGCTTTATAAATGATATCGGATAAGAAAAGAAAAGGCACAAGTTCTCAAAGCATCTTTCAATTAACTTCATTTAATATGAAAATCAAGCATTAAATACATAACTATATAAGAAATATTATTATTACAAGCATAAAAGTAGTATAATAAAAAAACTCGGTCATTAATTGTAAGCCTCTTTCGGAAAATAAATTATGAGTAATATCTTTTTATTTATTTCTATTCAAATTATAGTTTCACTAAAGATTAAAAAAAATATTGTGATGAAGTAAACATTTCCAAAAATATTTGACTGCTTTAAATTCAAAAATAAGAAAAACTTAATGTACATATACTGCATATGTAGTACTTTATTTATTTTCTTTATATGTAGTACTTTATTCTTTATATGTAGTACTTTACATTTTCTTTCAATAAAACTGTTTTTAATTACTGAATGGATGCCCAAGAACAATTTTATCATATTATTTCACCATCTGAAGAAAAACCTCTTGCTTTATAAATATATATATATATATATATATATATATATATATATATATATATTTAATTATTAATAATAATTTAAAAATTAAATATTTAATATTTAAAATAAAGTACTACATATCAGATGTAGTATGATAAATGCCTGTATATATCAGAAATATATTCTTTGACTCACTTTGTATAAAACATGCTTTGCACTTACATTGTTCGATATCCTCTACAGCAGCTCCCAGGACAGTAACTCATTACTCGAACCACCTCTGGAGCATCTGCCAGAAATCTCAAGTACTCGACACAAAATCACTACTTTAGAACCACTACATAACTTTAGTCTTTTACAAGTCTATTTGACCTGTTGCAATTGCCCGAGTAAAGTCTTTGCACAATATACGACACACGACGTACTTAGAGACTTTCGTGAATTTAGAATTTGATAATAAAGAGATATGTGTTGGAAGTACTCAAATATAACCTACAAAAGCATATATATATAAATTGTAAATTTTACATTGCATATATATAAATAAAGGATACATTGGCGCTGTAAATGAATTAATAACCTACAAAAGCACATATATAAATTATACTATTGATAATGACATGTATATAATTAAAGGATACTTTGGCGCTGTAAATGAACTGTTTACTTATAAAATTGACTCAAAATGGAGGCCCTGAAAGAGATACTTATCAAACTATACAAGGCACTTCCACACACATACACTTTTTGGATTTTAATTAACGTTTCACGATAAATTTATTATATCAAAATGATCTACTAAATTAATTACACGTTTTGATGCATAAATTAATTAAAACTAATCAAGGATTTAATTAAAAAAACGTTAATTAACTCAACCGCGTGTTAATTCACGAAAGTTTCTTTGACAATTGAAGTTGTCAACATGTGTCAGAATGACTGTCACCTCTTGTACAATTTAAAGCGCGAAATTCGAACATGAAATTTGAACTTTATGAAATTTACCTATTTGAACATATACGGTAAAAAGCAAACACTTTGAATATGTGATAATTTTACTTATTCACTAACAGAAAACTACACTATAAACAGAACAATCTATGGCCCAAAATTAGTTCACTTTCCAATTATTATTATAATATTAAATATTTATTTTACACTGATCATGAAATTTAAAAATTTCTAAAATGAGCCAGGTTAGGCCAGAAATTAAAAATTATCATAAAAAAATTAGGTCAAATATTCATACATTATTTAAATCCAAATTAACTCATAAAATTAAAACAAAACCTGATATCAATGGCATTTATTTCAATTAAAATTAGACATAAATAATTATCGCAATTAAAAATTAATCAAACGAGTACAAAAATAACATAACTACAAGTAATTATTTATATAAAATCATATAAATATTTCCTTATATTGAAACCAACAGATTTAGCCACGACTTGCATAAAGTCTAATCCTACAGCACATTGGTAATGAGCGGAATCAATAGACGCCTCTCCACCGATACAAACCAGCATTTGCAACTGAACTAAACTAGAAATCTAAAAATAATAACGACATGGATTAAATAATAATATTTAATAATTAGAATTTTTTTTTTTTAATAATAATCATCACCTGTGCTAGGAGATTGCAAGTCAGACCAATTTTTTCGTCGAGTATTGCGTAAAATATAGCAAGCAATCTGTCTTGTGTAAAAGTTTTTGGACCAACTTGTGTACTCAGTTTTTCTGTCACCTTAAAAAAAAAATTCATATAAATCGAATCGACTAATTTAATAGTTGCATCAATAAGTTTCCATGAAATGCTTGTGCAGGGTGAGTTTTTGTAGCAAAAAAATCAATCATGATTTTAAAGTATACCAAGTTGCTGTAGAGCAGCGTTATAATGTTAGAAAATATCATAGAATATAATTCTGCACATATTCTCCAAATACGTAAATTAAATTCATCTATTATTTTAAAAGTTACAACCAATATAATAACAAATGCAATATTAAGTTGCCATAAAATTTTAGAAAAAATTCAATCATGATTTTAAAGTATACCGAGTTGCTGTAGATCATTATAATGTTAAAAATATTATACACTATTCAATTCTGCACTTATTCTCCAAATACATGAATTATATCAATCAAATATTTTAAAAGTTACAAGAAAAATAATAAACAAATGCACAAACAAGTATCATATACCAAAAAATTCTTTATTACCTTTGCTTTATTTTTGAGATCCTGAACCCGTTTCTTTCTCTTGCCATGATGTTGCAAAAAGCCTTTTGTCTTCTTTAGCAGCATTGTAACTTGCCAAATAGGCTGCTATTAGCAAATATTTTGCGTAATAAGGCAATTCTATACTTTGCTTTATTGATGGCAGAATTGTCACCAATGTGTTTGGTGATTGAGATATCCTGAAATATAAAAATAATATATATATATATATATATATATATATATATATATATATATATATATTATTACTTACATTATTATACAAAATATTTTGGAGTCCTATGCGCGGTATAAAGTTCCCAAAGCAGTTTTTAAAATAGGTGCAACGTGTCTCCAAAGTTTGTTGTTTCCTTATAATTTATACTTGAATTTATAACAGGTCTGCAATATTCGATATAACAAACTCTAGCCATATATTGCAATTCTGGTAATCTCTGCAGGCACGATAAAACACACACAGAAAGGCATTAAGATAACTTCCATAAAAATCCTTATCTAGAAATAAAATTAATAATAAATTATATTGGATAAATAACAAACATATATATACAATTATAATCTTACCCAAGTCATTTATGATTTCCGAGTTGGAATACTTTTGTACCAAAAGCATTTTATTATAATCATAATCCAAAGTCATAATTTTTAGTATTCTTCTTGATTGTACTGAGGCACATGTACAACTATCGGTTCAAGCAAACCAGTTTTATTGTGAAATTTTCAAACATAATATCACTAACCAAAACAGTACAAACATTCACTTTGTCAACTCTTTCAGCCTCATAAAGCTGGCAAAATATTATGTTCCATGTCTCGCAGCCTCTCAGCATTTTCAAATACAATAACAAAATCTTTAACACGCGTCAGTTCTGATATTTTTTGCATTTGTGGAATAAAGTCGGATATGCAGTCACATTTTGCAAAGGAGGTGTAGTTGTTTTTCTGGTGTCAAATTGTGACCAGATAGTGTGTTCGGATGCTCTCCAGCATTATTTTTAAGGAATAGCATTCGATGCAGTTTACAATCACAAATTGTGTTTTAGATATTTGAGTAGGCTGTGATTATTTTTGGATTTCCCTGTGCCTTTGTGTCCTAGTATGAAAAGACATTGTGGAAATACTTCGTCTTTGTAACCTATAGTGTAAAGACAATATAATTATATATATCAATATAAGTATTATTAAATTATTAAAAATGTTTATCCTAACCTATATAGTTGTACAAAGTTTTAATCAAATTTTCTCTGCATGGCAATATAGGACTTAGAAATTTAACACACTCATTCATTTTGCTTACACATAAACTTTTAAAGCGTTTTTATAACAAATTTCACACTATTTTAACACATTTTGTAGCAAAATAAGACGTTTGTGAAGAAATTCGTTAGTAAACTGAGCAACTGTCAAATTGTAAATCTGTCAAAGACTTTGCGGTGTGAAGTTAGCAAATAGAAGTTGACAGCTGAACTAACGGATTTTAAGTTCAAAATTTGAATTGGATACCAATTATGTATTTTGGTTATCAATTATTTAAAGAATTTAATTTTAATAACATTTTTGGCAAAACTAAATAACTATCAAAGCCTTTTCAGCGTGAAGTTAGCAATTTGAAGCTGACAGCTGAAGTAACGGATTTCAAACTCAAAATTTGAATTGGAAACTAAAGAAATATGTGTTTTATTAAATTTTAATAAAGAAAGTCAGTTTAGTTTACAAAACTTTAATTTTCAATAACATTTTCAGCAAAACAAAACATTAGTAATACATTCGTTTATAGATAAACTTTAGAAAGTGAAGTTACCCATGTAGAAATTAATATGGTCTGAATCTACGAGCAATATAAAATCTACATTGGTCAAATTTGAAACCAATATCGGCTGGTCATAAAAATTGAACATTTTTTATATTGAGGCCATATAGGTAAACCAACATTGGTCTATATGGACCAGACCACCTAATTCATTAATCCTGGCCTGATGAGTCTGGCAATTCGGAACCAATATCGCCTACCAATATTGATAAATATTGGTTTGTTGTAGCCTCATTAACATTGGTCATGAATTATTCTGGCTATTTATAACCAATGCATTTTTTATATACATTGGCTAGATTATTTTTATGTAAAAAAATGCATTTTTACTTTAAATACTTTTATTTAATTTTTTTTTAAATACATAGCCCACAGATTTCTTCCAAGAGGACTTTTAAGACTTTTACATTTATTTTAGAATATGGATAACAAATAACATATATACAAAATTACAATGTATAGTAAAATTAATAATGCGCTTAACATAAAATTACATATAATACAAAATGTAACAAAATTATTTTTTTACAGAATAAGTTAAAATAATGATAAAATAATAATTTAGCTGCATGTTAATTATAACGATGTAACATTTAAACAAAAATATTATATTTGCTTTTAATATATTACAAAACAATTAATTCTATCGCTATGTATTTTTATGGAAAAACCTTCTATTGGAACAAATAAAGTATCACTCTAAATGAATTTTGGAAAGTAGATGTGCTTTCACATTTACGTTGATATGAAAATATTATTATTATTATTAGGTAACTACAAAATGTTATGAGAAATTGATAGGTAGACTTGTTGTTGTACAAATCACTATTCTTGTTAGCCGCAGCCATAATCAAAAGGTTTATATTTATAATTTCTTGCACTCCTTTCTATTTAACCAAAAAGTTTTTTATGGCCACACTAGAAGTGGCTTCCCCAGTCTTTGATAAATCTTCACGAAACTTTTTCAAAACCTGTCGTGTGGGAAAGATTATTATCCAATAAATAGAGCACTGAAGTAAGAACTTTTTCTCCGAGGTGCACCCTTTGAGTGTAACTTAAGCCATCGAGACCCTGTTTGAAGAGCAGGTACTAATGTATTATTATTAAAAATTTTCTAAAAGTAAGTAAAAATGAGTAATAATATATGAAAGCACATAATTATAGTATTTGTTTCTTACCTGTTATAACCAATTTAAGATTGTTACAGTAGAAGCTTTGTTAGGCAAAACACTGTTTTCCATAGAAATATATGGCAATTGAATGAACTTGTTTTGTAATTTGTATTTTACCTGCAAGACATTCTAAATTTAAAAAAATATTACTAATTAATGGCAAAATACTACTAGAAGATGTTAGGTAGGTTTATTGTTGTACAAATCACTGTTCTGGTTAGCATCAACCATATTCAAAAAGTTTATATTTATGAATTCTTGCACTCCTTTCTAATTAACCAAAAAGTTTTTTATGGCGGCACTAGAAGTGGCTTCCCAGTCTTTGATAAATCTCTATCAAACTTTTTCAAAACCTGTGGTGTGTGAAGGATTATTATCCAATAAATAGATCACTGAAGTAAGAACTTTTTCCCCGAGGTGCACTCTTTGAATGTAACTTGTGTCATCGAGGCTCTGTTTGAAGAGCAGGTACTAATGTATTATTATTAAAATATTTTCTAAAAGTAAGTAAAAATGAGTAATAATATATGAAAGCACATAATTATAGTATTTGTTTCTTACCTGTTATAACCAATTTAAGATTGTTACAGTAGAAGCTTTGTTAGGCAAAACACTGTTTTCCATAGAAATATATGGCAATTGAATGAACTTGTTTTGTAATTTGTATTTTACCTGCAAGACATTCTAAATTTAAAAAAATATTACTAATTAATGGCAAAATACTACTAGAAGATGTTAGGTAGGTTTATTGTTGTACAAATCACTGTTCTGGTTAGCATCAACCATATTCAAAAAGTTTATATTTATGAATTCTTGCACTCCTTTCTAATTAACCAAAAAGTTTTTATGGCGGCACTAGAAGTGGCTTTCCCAGTCTTTGATAAATCTCTATCAAACTTTTTCAAAACCTGTGGTGTGTGAAGGATTATTATCCAATAAATAGACCACTGAAGTAAGAACTTTTTCCCCGAGGTGCACTCTTTGAATGTAACTTGTGTCATCGAGGCTCTGTTTGAAGAACAGGTACTAATGCATTATTATTAAAAGATTTTCTAAAAGTAAGAATGAGTAATAATATATAAACGCACATAACTATAGTATTTGTTTCTCACCTGTTATAAGTAATTCAGAAATGTTTCAGTTCACAGTTGATTTCAGAACTATATCTTAGATTTATGATTACGAGGTTATGTTTTATGAGTTGTCATTTAAGTAATTCTAGTAATATATATATAATTCTAATAATATATATTTATATATATATACGTATATACTGAAATCTTTTATATTAGCAACTGTACAAATACACTTTAAATATATTACAACGATTATTTCTGCACATATAACACGATAGTTTACAAGCAAACACGGCTTGTTCATAGATTCGGCGCCATTTCAACGACGCGTCGGTGTTAGGTTACAAAACTATTGTTTTAGAATGCAAAATGAGGTTAAAATCTAGACAATATATAATAAAGAAAGAATTGCAAAGTAATGCAAATTATTTAAAATGAGACATATATTGTATTCTATACTCTGTATAGTACATATATTCCATAGAGAATTTTCAGATACCAATATCTAATCAATTGAATCTTATCTTTATAAGACTTTTTATATTCCAAGCTTATAAAGTGACAGCTGAATATGTTAAATTTTTTAATGTTCTTAGGTAGCATAATCTTCAATTTAATTTTAATAATCAAAACTTTATGTACCATGACACAGATATATTTCATTCATACAAAACACATTTTTTATGAATGAAATATCTGTCATGGTACAAGTTATAATTTGTAACTTTATTTATTGTTAAAGAAATGGAGAAAGTATCAAAGAAAAGCCTGAAAAATTATTATTTAACACTTTGCACTTCAAGTGCAATGCTCACTTTAAGTATAAATAATTTGTAACTTTATTTATTGTTAAAAAAATTGAGAAAGTATCAAACAAAGAAAAACCTGAAAAATTATTATATAACACTTTGCACTTTAAGTGCAATGATCACAGTATGCATAAATAATTTGTAACTTTATTTATTGTTAAAGAAATGGAGAAGGTTATCAAACAAAGAATAATGCTTGTCTTTAATAAATATAATAAAATAATAAACAAAAATTCATTTAAAAATTATATAATATCTTAGGCATTCCCACTGCTTAAGTCCTTTTGAAGAAGTCCTGTAATATGAATTTGTATTTTAGAACTCGTAGAGTAGGGTATAAAACTCTAAGACACATGGTATGGATAATAATTTTCTGCAACAACATACTGAATTTTTTGGCTCCATCCCAATCTCGTGATTGTGCCAGCACCGCGGAAATAGTTTTCATAATATCAGCATCCACTACTTCAGGGTACTTAATTCTGACAGCCTCTGCGAATGAATTTCAGAAATAAATTTCTGATGGAAGTTATAGAGAAATATTTTAGCAGACATACGAATAACAACACTGCATAATTTCAGTGCCGAAAAATCCAGCTTGTTTTTTCGGCCTTTTGAAGAATATTGCACAGCTACAGCCCTGCTAAATAACTTTTTCATAATAGTAGCGACTGCTCCTCTCATATTATGCCCACCAAGAAAAGATAATTGGCCGATCTAGTACAAATTATATATATGCTCACTTTTAGTATATACATACGCTATTTACAAAATTCAAACTTGTTACCAATTCCACAGCAACATCATCATTATTTAATTGCATCTCCATTTCTTGTACATCTGTAAGGCTTGCCATGGGCAGTTTAAAGGAAATGGTAATGGGATTATTAGAAGTTGCTGAATAATCTTGCTTATGTGCTCTCACATAGAGCAACATTTCCTGTTGCTCTTCCTTAATCTTTTTAATTTCATAGCATAATTTCCCAAATGCAATAGATAATTTATCTATAGATTCTTGCGAAACTATAAATTTGGTTTTGTCTAAATTAATAAAGAAACATTTATAAAAGGACAGAACATCTACGCGTAAAAAAGCATATTTTTATAGAATTCAAACATTCAAAATCTCAACATTTGAAACATTCAAATTATAATTTCAATATCAATCTATACTTATTACCTGTAGCATTGGTTGATGAACCTGAATTTGATTCTAAGGCTGAATTTGCTTCAGCCTCCTTGGTATATTTTTGTCCTACAGACTATAACGTAGAAATTTAATATACATTGAAATATATATAAATACAGCATTGAAATATTTTATATTTTCAAACTTACCTCCATTTCAAATATGAATATACAAATATAAAAAACACAATATATAAATTTTATATATAATATATATAATACGAAATATAATAATATATAACAAAATTTTAGGTTATTCCTATGTAAACGCACACAAAACACAATTTGACCACATGTGGCCGTACAATTGCGCGCAAATGTAATATTTGACATAGCTTGTGGAGTACGTTATATTATTACGTGAATTCATTATATATTATATATCATAGATTAATAAACAAAATATGTTAAATTATAACATATTAATAAGCAGAGAAAATAATATAATTTCAAAAATATAGTCAAAAGTAAATATTCTTATTTTATCGATTATGAAACGCCAACGCAAAATCGAACGCACCTTCAAAGTTATGCCGTTGTTCTGTAGATGCGTGCCGGTTAGCGGCTAGTGCCGGCTAAGTGCAATTCAATTCAAAACAGATGTGTTCAAATTTGTAGGAAATGTTGTAGAAATAAGTCGTGTTAGTTTTAATTTTTGTTGATTTTTTATATATATATATATAAATATTATAATTATATAAATTTTATATATTGTGTTTTTTATATTCTTTTTTGTTTATTCATATATATATTTGAAATGGAGGTAAGTTTGAAAAATTTAAATTATTTTATTGTTGTTTTATACACACATACGTAGACATATATATATATATATATATATATATATATATATATATATATATAGACATATACCTAATTTTGATTTAATGAATATATTCAATTTTCACGTTATAGTCTGTACAAACAAGCTGGGATATTGTAGTATTTTCAGTAGATAATACTTGTTACCATGTGCCATCGTCTTGGGCTATAGATGATAATAAAACAAAGTATCTTTGGCCGAAGAATGTTAAGAATAGCAAATTAGAGAAGATGATAAATAACTGTGTGCCGGGCAATAGTTTATCATGCTCTGATGAGCTAGAGGCAAAATGTCTGAGGACTACTTCTTCATTAAAAAAAGCGAAGAAGTATGTAAAGAAGGCTGAAATTAATTCAGCCATAGAATCAGATATGCCTCCAACCCATGACACAGGTAATAAGTACAGATTGATATTGAAATTATAATTTGATTTTTCAGACAAAATGTATTTTCAATTCTTTAGCGTGATGCTCATCATTTACTGTATAATTTGTAACTTTTTTTTTTATTGTTGAGAAGAAATCGAGAAAGTTTCCAACAAAGATAAGGCTGACAAGTCATTGGAGCAACTATGCAACATATCTATGATGTTCGAAAATTTAGTGCTTGATCTGCAAGAAATCAAGAAGAATCAGGCAGAAATTTTTGAATTTACAGCTTCTCACAGAGAAGCAAAAAATCATATTGTCCTGCCTAATGTTAGAACATTTGTGTTTCCTTTGGAAAGTACAGATGATATAATAAAGATGGAAACAAACTTAACAGAGGAGGGTTTTGCTTCTGATTTGGTAAGAATAATAGTTGTATATATATATATATATATATATATATATATATATAACTTCTTCATAATAGGTAGTTCATTTGTCTATGGTTGGCCAGACTACTTTAAATGGAACAATAACAGCTGTGATGAAAAAAGTTTTTTCAAGAACTCTGGCGATGCAATATTCAGCCAGAGGACGAAAAAACAAGCTAAACTTCTCGGCGTTAAAATTATGTGATGTTGTTGTCAGTATGTATCATCAAATATTATAGCTTTATTCATTCACACACAGACACACATATTTAATGTTTAATAATGTAATAATACATGTATGTGTTAAGAGTTTATTATTTAATATCAAGTGCAATATGTTGAGGTATAATTTAATAACAATTTCTGATGTATATTCAAGTTTATTAAAAATCATTTGCAGAGGCCATAACAGTTAATTTTCCCAAAGAGACACAACTTGATATTATGAAACGCATAAGTGTCGTTTTAGCACAGTCTGGAGACTGGAACGGAGGGAAGAAGCAAAGTATGTTACAGCTAAAAAAATTATATTGAAGATACTACACACTATGATATTATACCATTATGTACAAATTTTAAAATATAAATAATTCATATTGCAGGAAATATAAAATATCCTACTGAATTAGATTATATTCAGCTAATACAGAATGAGGATATAATCTTTTCAATGAATCCTGATTTATTAACTGAAGATCAATAACAAGAAAACAAGAGTTCATTATTATATAATGTATTTTGAATAATTAATCAATTAATCAGGTGATTTATTAACAAATACAATTCAATTACAAGCAAACAGAAGTGTTTTGATTATTCAATAATATATTTTTCCATTTTTATTATCTACAATAATTTAATAGCTACATGCAAGTTTTCCATTTTTATGATAAGACATTTGCTTATCATATCACTGATATTTACATGAAAAACAAATGTTGATAAGTCAGATATATGAAAAAAATGCAAATCTATTGACTGTTTACTATTATAAAAATTTGAACTTGTATTGTAAATATTTCCTTTAAAATAATAATTTGAATCATTTTTATAAATACTATGCACTTTCATTATTCTGTTCTGTTTAATCATTATGTAACAATCATTTGCACTTTGAGGATTTATTTTCATTCCATTTATTTTAATAAATTTTATTACCGAATTTTTTTCAAAAACGAAAAACTTTTCTTGGGGTGTATGAATTTCACCACTGTTCTCAATGAGTCTACATGCAACTTGCTGCAAAGGTTTTGCTGGACCCCTAACTAACTTTAAAATTTGACCCAAATAGCTTTCAAAAACAAAACAGCTGTAATGATCAACACTGCGTTGCTCTCTTACTGCATCATCTGTCATATGGAAAATGCTGTGCATATTATATACTAACATATTCTCTCCATAAATTCTTTTTATTCCCTTACAAAATTTGCGAATAAATTCTTTTGCCTTATGTCCATATTTGACAATATACTCATCACTGCAAATTATTCGCATAGCATAATGAAAGTACATGAAATTTTTATAAACCCGATTTGGCAAAAATTGTTTCAGGATGACCGGACCTGCATATAACATAAAAAAACGAAACTCTGTTGCCTTCCATCTATCAAGTTCTTGAAAACCTCTAGGTTTTCGCTGAAACTCGCTTGGTGTCATTGATCTCAGATTATTGAGCATTGAAGACATAGAATTTATATGTATTTGGCTAATGGCACAATTACTGGCTCTGTCTCTTACCCAAACATATATTAACTTATGCATCACACCAAGGCAAGCCATATGCATATAGTCCAAAGGAAAATCTTCCACAAAATTTATTCCAGCAAGGTTCAATAATGGGGACCTATCAAGTTGATGATTATCTTCTTTTTCTAGCATTGACATGTAATCTTCATGATGTCGTAGACTCGCATCCATTAATGGAAAAATTATTTTACCATCTACCCTCACTCCTTTCTGTGTGCACCTTTCGCAACTGTTGTATCCATTATGGCCCTTGATACACTTTATATAAGCCCGGGCAGGAGCATCACAGCAAATCTTGTGTATCTTGACTTTATACAAAATATTCTCATGAATGAAACCAGAATTATAAAGATCATTAGCTTCATTTATAAATCTTTCTAAATAAGTACTTACACAGTCAGGTTTACTATCTCCATAGTACAATCCAATCACAAACGGCTTAATGGAACGTGATGTTTTTGTATACAGAGCTCCCAAAATAGGCCAGAACTGTGATGATTTACTTTTGAAAACTGGTACCCCATCAATATTAATTAAAAGATTTATTAAGTTATCACTATATTGATTTTTAAACATATTTAAATTTTTAATAATATTGTCCTTTAAGTTAAAATGCACGTATTCACCCACATTGCCACGCTTACTGGCCATAGTTGTAGTTGCAACCACTGAGGGTGTTTTCAAAATTGTTTTTGCACATAGGGGCACATTCTGATGGCCATGCTTTCTCAGAATTGGAAGCAAAGTATTCAATTGCTTATGACTCACATTCTGCTGTTTAGCCCAAGAGCGTAGGTCGGAAACAATGTCTGTATTTTCAGAATCTTCCAAGTTGTTAATAATATTACTCATATCATTTGTGGTGCTTGCAAACGAAGTATCTTCAGAGAAAGACGTACTGCTATCAGAATCCGACTCGGTGTTAATATCACAATTACTATCACTAATATCACAATTACTATCACTAATATCACAATTACTATCACTAGTGTCACAATTACTATCACTATTGTCACAAAAATTTCTCATAGTACTATCTTCGACGTTTTGAATTGTGAGCAATCGGGCAATTTCTGTTGCTCGCTTCTTAATATACATTGACTTGGTTGATCTCTTGTATGGCATATTTATAAAATTGTACTTTAAGCACTTGTAAAACAATCAACACTCAGTGCAAAAATAAACTGTCGACTACGTCAAAGTAAATAACAGGTCAAGATTTCTAAAATGTCAAGTTTGTAGGTTATGCTCTGACAAATACGATATTCTATTGCCCATTCCATTCGAGAACAATATATTTATTAGCCGATGATAAAAAATATTGCGTCAATATTTATATTTAATTGGAGGACGATATAGGAAAAGGCCACTCA